CTGGGTATTTGATATTAAGAATGGTTAGGTCTTTCAGTGTGATACTTGAATTATGGTGATATATTTAAAAACAGAAACAAAAACTTATTTGCTAATAGTTTGATTTACAGAAAAAATTGTGAAGATGGTACAGAGTTCCCATATACCCTACACCCACTTTCTCCTTGTTATCATCTTACATTATTATGGTACATTTGTTACAATGAATGAATCAACACTGACCCATAATAAACTACATACTTCATTCAGACTTTTCTTAGTTTTTACCCCATGTCCTTTGTTCAAGCAGTCTATCCTGGGGACACTACATTTAGTGGTTGTGTCTCTTTAGTCTCCTCTAGATAGTAGTCCTCAGACTTGCCTTGTTTTTGATGATCTTGACAGTGCTAAGTACTGGTATTTTGTAGAATGTCCTTCAGCTGGGAGTTGTCTGTTTCTCTCATGACTCAGCTGGGGTTACAGGGTTTTGGAAAGACCAGAGAGGTAAAGTGCCACTCCCATTTTTAGGCATACATACACTAACAGCGTGACACAGTGGTTCAACCTTCACCTGGCCAAGGTGGTGGGCAGCTTTCTTCACTGTAATTACTCTTTCACCCTCCTTTCCATGCTACGCTCCTTGACAAGTCACTATGCAGAGGGCCCACACTTCAGGGGTGGAAAGTTATGCTCATATCCTTGAAAGTGCAGTATCCATATAAATTACTTAAAATTCTTCTTCATGGATTTATTCTTCATATATTTAGTCATTCATTTATGTCGGCGTTGTACTCAGATATTTCATAGATTGGGTTATAATCCAACACTACATTATTTTGTTGCTCCAATGATTCCAGCTTTGGCTATTGGGAATTCTTTTCATTGGCTCCCATGTCTTTTGACATACTCTCATTATATTTTTGTTTTTAAACCACTTCCTTAACTGAAACTAAGATGCTCCAGGCATCCATCTCATCTTGTATATTTTCTGCCCTAGTCTTAGAGTCGGCTGTTTCTCTAAGGAGTCCTGGATCCTTTTATTGGATAGCATCAGAAACCAAGAACTCGGCATTAGGCATGTTCTTTGCTACTGGGGTATTATTATTTCTTGGCCCCTTCAGCAGATAGATTGATTATATATTTTAAAGAGTAAAAATACTTTAAAATTTTATAGAGTCACTTTAACTGAAATACTTACAGAGGAAATACCTATATTGTGTTTCACAATAATCAGTGTTGAGGAGTGGTTAAGTGGGCAAACATATAAAACTAGTGATCATGAGTTACACTTGGATGACAGGTACAGAGTTTAGCTGATTTGTGTCCATCCCAAAACCTCCATAATAAAGACCCTTTAAAAATTCAAAACAATATAGCCATGTGCCAACGATCTTGACAACTTAAGACAAAATGGTCAAGTTCCTAGGAGAAAAAAAATATACTTTCTAGAGTTGACTCAAATGTATTAAAAAATTTATTTACTTTTGAGAGAGACACAGTGTGAACAGGCGAGGGGCAGAGAAAGAGGGAGACACAGAATCTGAAGCAGGCTCCAGACTCTGAGATGTCCGCATACAGCCCAATGCAGGCCTCGAAACCACAAACCACAAGATCATGACCTGAGCCAAAGTCAGACGCTTAACTGACTGAGCCATCCAAGTGCCCCTAGAATTGACTTAGAAATTAAAAAAAAAAAAACAAAACTTAAGAAATGGAAGCAGTGACTAAAAATTTTCCTATGATGTTCACTGGTGTTTCTGATTCTCTTATGGGTAGACTATACTAGACTAACTCTCCTACAGATAGTTATAAACATAGAACAAAAATGTTACAAAATATTTGAAACCACTGGAGAGGAACCAAAAGGTGGTAGAAACCAGAGGGGATCAGCCTTCACAGGGAAAGAAGGGGACATGCCAATTCTCCACAAATTGATCTATGGATTCAATTATCATTCCAATCAAAATGCCAACAGAATTTTTTTTTCCCCTGAGAGAAAGCTCAAGTGGGGAAGAGGGGGAGAGAATCTTAAGCAGACTCTATGCTCAGCACCAGGCAGACACAGGGCTTGATCCCACAACCCTGGGATCATGATCTTAGCCCAAATCAAGAGCCATATGCTCAACCGAGTCACCCAGAAACCCTCCAACAGGATTCTTTATAGAAATAGAGTAGTTAATTTTAAAACGTATAGGAAAATGCCAAAGCCCTGGAATAACCAAAAAACAAGTTTTAAAAAGGATAATGATAAAGGACTTCCATTATCTGATTTCAAAATTTACCACAAAGCTATAATTTTTAAGACAACGTGGCACTGGTGTTAGGTCAAATAACTATGGAACAGAACAGAGGCCAGAAACAGACCCATGCAAATAATGGTTAACTAAGCAAACAAGGAAATCCAACAGGAAGTTTTTCCAAATGATGATAAAACACCTGTATGAATGTATGGAAAGAAAATGAAACTTGACACATACATCATCACACTAAAATTTAAACAGATCTTACATGTAAACTGTAATAATAAAAACTATAAATTGTCTAGAGCAAAACATAAGAGAAAATCTTCCTAATCTTTGGGTAGGTAGCAAAGATTTCTAATTTTTAAGTTTACATAAAAATGTAAAGATCGACATGGGATTCAGGATGAGGTTATCTTGGAGGAGATAGGATAGCGTGGGGGAACATGGGGACTCCAAAGGGCTGGATTCTAAGTTATTGTCCAGATCCTAGATTTTGTCCTGGAGATGAAGTCCCGGTCCTATAATGTTATTAAGACCATGTACATAAACCGGTCTGTCATGGGCTAAAGATTATTCTAATTCTGTGTGCCTGAAGTCCAAAATAAAAACTTACCTGGTTTAAAAAGTTTACTCTTTAACAGAAATACTCTTAAAGCATTTTGGGTCTTTAAAAATACCGCTTTTCCGGGGGCGCCTGGGTGGCTCAGTCGGTTGAGCGTCCAACTTCGGCTCAGGTCATGATGTCACAGCTCTTGAGTTTGAGCCCCACATCGGGCTCTGTGCTGACAGCTCAAAACCTGGAGCCTCCTTCAGATTCTGTATCTCCCTCTCTCTGCCCCTCCCCCGTTCTCTCTCTCTCTCTCAAAAATAAACACATTAAAAAAATAATAAAAAATAAATTATATAAGAAAAAAATACTGCTCCTCCGTATCTGGGAAATAACGGAGAGTGGCATTTCAGCTCTCACACAGTCCTCTTCTGCAAATGTAAAACAGTAATTACAGAATGAATGAATTTGATGAATTTGCTCGTTGGTATATCTAAGTAGGATATTTTGTAGTACCGTTCTCAAGAATATTTGTGCAAGCATGGATAGGCAAGACAGTGTTAAATACAGCAACCACTGTTTTGATAATTATACCCTTGATGTTAACTTTTGGTAAAGTTAAAGAACAATCAAGTTGGGGACATCGAATGCACACTTAATTTATAAGCCAAAACCTAGATTAGCCACCTATTACTAACAAATCACCCTCAACCATCGTGGCTTTAAGCAAACATGTCTCTGTTTCTGTGGGTCAAGAATTCACGAGAAGCTCCTTTGCACACTTGTGTCTCAGGTCTCTCAAGAGGTCGCGGCCAGATGTTGCCTGAGATGGGAGCCGGAGGACCACTTCCAAGACAGCTGGCTCCCAGAGCTGGCAGGTAGTGTTGCCAAAACAGCTCCTCTCCTCGTGGAGGGCTGCCTAAATGTCTTCACAACATGGTGTTCACCAGTCCCAGGTCAAGTAATCCAAGAAACTAAGGCTGAAGTTGCAATGCCTTTTAGGACCTAGCCCCTGAAGTCGACTATTTTTTTGTGAGTATTTTATTGGTTACGCCAAGTCAGCCTTCTTTCTTTTTTTTTTTTTTTTTCAGAGTTTATTTATTTTTTTTGGGACAGAGAGAAGGGGAATAGAGCATGAACAGGGGGGAGGGGCAGAGAGAGGGAGCCACAGAATCGAACAGGCTCAGGCGACCATCAGCCAGAGGAGAGCCACTGATGCGGGCTCAACTCACGGACCGCGAGATCGTGATGACAGGTAGCAGCTGAGATCGGACCTGTGGCAACCGACTGTGCCACCCAGGCGCCCCAAGTCAGCCTTCTTTCAATGAGGGCTGGGAAATTAGTCCATTGCATGACTAGAAGGATGACCTTAAAAAACACAAAAGTTTCAGAACTTTCAATTAGGGAGGAGGTAGATTAAAGACATAGAAAAAGAAGACCCCCTCCATTACGATGAAAAATCACAAAAGGTTTTAGCTGGCCACAGGTATCATATATATCAGCAGTCAGGGCCACCTGTGCAGGGCACATAAGGGCACCATTCTGTGATGTGGGGAGGCACTGCCACCCCACTGTGCTCTACTTTCAGTAGTAAGCCTGTACATGGAATGCTGGGTCAACTTTTGAACAGCAAACATTGATTATGTTTCTACAGACCTCCAGAAGGGACACGAAGGACTTGCTGATACTGCAGGTAACTTTTTATTTAACACGAAGGGAAGAGTATGGACTAGTATTACTCGTATACGCGGCCAACAGAAGACTTATTTATCCCCTTCTAAGGTTCTAGGCCCCACACTGCAAGGTGCAGTTTTTGTAGAAAGTAGAAAACCAAGCTTTTTAAAACTGTGGCTAAAAAAAAGGCTGCATGAGTGAAATCCCCTATGAGGAAAGCAGTGAGGCTGCAGGCTGCTCATGTTATCTAACGCCAGTGTCTGCTCGGCTTCTCTGGCTTACTTGATGATTTTTAATGTTTGGTGCAGGCAATGTTTGGGGAGGAGCTGAGTTCCAGGAGGCAGGAATATACCTATATTTCTTACACACAAATATTTGTGGGTAATGTTTGTCATGCTAGAGAGCCTGTAACTTCAAGAAATTAAATACAACCAAAAGCTGTGGATCCAAGATAACTAAGACTTAACGTTTTATTTTTTAAAAAAGGCATCTGTCAAAAGGTCACATGCGATTTTTCACCTACACATGAGCAAACCATAAAATACTGCGCAACGAAATCAGTGATGAAAGAGCCGAAGATTCGTATGAGCGAGAATTATTCCCAGTTCATCACAAGCCTCTATCACAACTCTGTCGGCAGCAGAACCAGAAGGAGCAGCAATGTATGCCACGCCGCTCTGCGGGGAGAAGAGACATTGACTTTCAAGACACAAGTTCAGGTGAAGACACGCAAGAACCAAAATCCTCCTCTACAAAGCATAAGCTAACAAGGGTTCACAATACAGACTAATTCGCTCGGCCAAAAGAGCAAAAGAACATCAAATGGAAAAGTAAAATACTTAAATATTACTGATCACACTGCCATAACTTGGCTATAAAACTCACAGAACTTAAACACCAAAAGCAGGGTTTCTGAAGTGGTTTTACATCATAATCAATTCTGTGCAAATGCACATCATTTCCACACTTACCCTTTTAGCTCTGTCTACGTTATCTCTGAAAGGAAAGAAGGCATCAGAGCTGATAGAAACTTCATTAAGTTTGTCAACCCATTCTTTCTTCTCTGCTTCAGTTAGCAGTTCAGGGACTTCCTCAAACAATGCCTTCCACTTTACCAAATCTTCATCCTATGAGAAGGGGGTGGAGAGGGGAAAGAAAGATTTTGGATACAATCTTTAATACTATCTGATGCAAATCAGAATGCCAGAAAGCACTTGGGCATTTGTCCCAGGATTTAATTATAAATAATGGCTCATTCCAATTTACATCTCCAGAATTTTTTTTGATGCTTTTAACATTTCATTAAGAAAAGTAATTCTAAGTGTACCAAATAAAGATTATACCATTTACTTTCAAAATCAGTTTATTCTAAATATATTTTGTTTCTTAATCTCTGCCTAAATTAAATCTACTATTTTATATCCCTGTATCAAAACAAGCAAACAGATGATGATGGATGTTCTAGAACTATATTTACACAGCCTCAAGTCTACAGTCAGTCATACAGATGAAATCAAGGTATGATTCACGGTATTCACATTTTTTTTTTTTTAATTTTTTTAACGTTTATTTATTTTTGAGACAGAGAGAGACAGAGCATGAACAGGGGAGGGGCAGAGAGAGAGGGAGACACAGAATCCGAAACAGGCTCCAGGCTCTGAGCTGTCAGCCCAGAGCCCGACGCGGGGCTCGAACTCATGGACCGGGAGATCATGACCTGAGCCGAAGTCGGATGCTCAACCGACTGAGCCACCCAGGCGCCCCGGTATTCACATTTTTAAAAAGGTGCTTCCATTTTGGATGATTTGTTGGCTAAAACAACATAGTTTTAACTCTTGTTCACATACATATAAAGATCCTTCCAGAACTACGAGCAAGATTTCACTAGTAATATTAAACAGGTTAATACCAATATTAGAGTAAAAAAAGAAAGGCTTATGTTTTAAGTACTTTATGATTTTAAGGCACACTTATGTTGACACTTATGATGTCATGGATTCCTGTCCCTGAACTTGTGGACAACGTAATGTGGTTAACTCACCTCCTCAGGAGACTATTGAGTATCCGATTACCAGACTTCTCTTTTGCTTTCCACATAGGATTTATCGACATTTGCTATGTCCAGATATAGGTTTAAATTCTAGATTTTTAGCAGGCTACTTGATAGCTGCAATTTTACTTATTTATTTATTTTTAACGTTTATTTATTTTTGACACAGTGCAAGGGGGCGATGTGCAAAGGGAAGGGGACATAGGATCCAAAGTGGGCTCTGCACTGGCAGTCTGACAGCGGCGAGCCCAATGTGGTGCTCGAACACATGAGTGGTGAGATCATGGTCTGCCCGACTGAGCTACCCACATACACCAACAGTTGTCATTTTAATGCACCCGTATGCTTTCTTCAAAATAGAAGACATTAAATATGAAATGTAACAAAAATTGAGCTGTTAATGACTCTGGTAGAAAGTGTAGGGGAAAGGGGCACCTGGATGGCTCAGTCCGTTAAGTGTCTGACCTCGGCCTGGGTCATTATCTCACGGTTTATGAGTTTAAGCCCCACTTCAGCCTCTGTGCTGACAGCTCAGAGCCTGGAGCCTGCTTCCGATTCTGTGTCTCCCTCTCTCTCTGCCCCTCCCCCATGCACTCACACTCTTTCTCTCTCTCTCTCGAAAACAAATGTTAAAAAAAAGAAAAAAAGAAAAGAAAGTGTAGGGGGAGAAGACACTGGTTACCCGCTATCAGATAATTTGTATTTCATGTTGAATACACACCTATCATGCAGAAGCATCATGCTTGGTTGGCACTGTGAAAGAAGCCTCAGGATAGGTGAAAAATAGTCCCTGCCATCAAAAGTTCAAAACCAACAGGGAAAGTACAAAGTTATAAAACTAAACCAATGGTTATAATTTTAAAAGACAAGGAAGGTCTGTGGTATCAGAAAGGGATTAACTATGAACAAAAAAATTAAAGACAGCAGACAATGGAGAATTGGTAAAAAGTTTAGAATTACAATTTTAGACAATGTAAAATTTTAAGAAAAATACCTGTTACAGAAAAGAGTGAGCATACCAGTATACTCCACTCACAAACCCAGTGACTTTTACCTCACCAATGGTTCCAGTAACATACTGATCAATGGCATTGGAGATTTCTGCTCTCTTCACTCCAGTTTTAAACTTCATTGAAAGCACTTGTGGATGATGTCTAAGCCACCAGTAGTTCGCCTTATCCCCTGCAAGGCGTGTGCAGTGTATTCGAGACTGCTGTCCTGCTCCAATGCCAATAACCTGAAGAACATGAACATTAAGATGAATCTCTCTTTCGATATTTTTTTTAAACAGGTCTTTTGTGCACATTTCCTAAAATCTATCAATTCTGTGAAAAAAACAGTAGGCCAAAATACAAATAATTCTTAAGTTATTAAGGGTGAGAGTAGATGTCAGTAACTACTATTAACACATTTTTCCTCTTCGGTGACATTTGAAGTATGGCTATTAATACTCTGTAAGTTTCTAGAACTCCTGGACATCAGTAGTGAGGCACAGTCTGACTGGAACTTATTAGAACCTGACTCCAAGAACACCAGTAACCACAATCCCCCAAGTTTTTGTTAACAGAGACAAGCAGTCTTTTAACAGTTGACAATCACTAAAATTCTGAATTTCAAAGTCTTCCAGGTCACATGCTAATGAATATCCACACTTTCCCTCCCCCACTTATGGGACAAATAATTTAACAGGTGCCAAGAAGAGCTCAAGACACCGTGAGAAGGGCTCCCAACGCCGCGGAAGCTATGGCGAAAGCAGAACCAGTTCAGTCCAGAGTTAGAAGAGACCCCCAGGAGGAGCTGGCTCAGTGCTGCATTCTACGGCTCAGCCCGCTAGGAAAAAGTGAAATATCTCGCTGGACGTCTATAAGAAACATTCAACACCTTGCTCGTGGTAGTGGTCATTCATCGAACTACATAATGTGGGCAAATTGCTCAAAATTCGACACTTAAAAAGAGTAAATTTTATTGTATATAAATTATGTCTCAGTAAACCTGATTTTAAAAGATCACGTTAACTTGCAGTCCACAGATTCTTGGTAAAATAACCTTAGAAATAACGCAAAAATATCCAACAAGCTACAAAAATATGGAGTAATAGGTAGCAGTACTATTCTTGACTCTCTCTTCACTGGAAATATCACAGCCATCAGGAGGAGGGGAGTGAATAAGCTAGTTTTATAGCGGCTATTACAGTCCCACTAACCCAAATGTGCCAACTCCGTCTGGGCAAGAAGTAATACGACCAATTTTAATGTCATTCTGAAGACACTTTGTGATCATCACTAGCTCTAACGGTCTACCACATTACTGAGTAGATACCAACAAACCCAGAAAAGAAAAACCTGGCCAATTTTCCTTTCCAAGCAGTCTATCACCTGAGGGACGAGTATCATTTTGAAAAACAACAGTCTGCCCAAAGTGGGTTTGAGAGTGTGGTTACCTGACCATTCTTGGCATAGCACACGGAGTTAGACTGCGTGTACTTCACAGCAATGGTGGCTACAATGAGGTCTCTGAGCGCAGACTCTGGCAACTGAAAAGACACAGGGCGGTCAACTATGGTGGAATTTGTAGCTCCAATGGAAAACGTTAAGCATCTTACAAGTCATTTTCTTATAGACCTATGATGTAGTTGTACCTTTCAAATGATAGAATGGAATTAACTGTTCATAGAAAACACTATTGTGTTTTACTGAAAAAGATCAACATTCAACATACTTGTTGTGGAACTCAGCAGTGCCTAATGCATCACGGACTCAAACTAATGCCATTTTGCAGCAACTCCGGCTGAAGTGTGTTTACATATCATGCTGTGAAGTACCATATCCATTCCTAAACTGACAAATAATACTTTCTCTACCACAGTGCCAAGGAACATATATGGAAACATGATAAAGTTTATGTTGAGAAAGAACATGGAGAATAATTTTCACAGATATCACAAACAACTGTGATGTCTACACAGAGCCACGGCTGTTGAGGAAAAATCAAATTACGATCATTTTCTGCTTTGTCTAGAATATTCTAAGTAGAAACTATTCAAAAATACTTGTGAACTACCAGTCCTAACAGAATAAAGCAATTGCTATAGCCAGAAATGTCACTATGTTTAAAATTTTTTTTAATGTTTGTTTATTTTTGACAGAGAGAGACAGACAGAGCATGAGTGGGGAGGGGGGCGCAGAGAGAGAGGAAGACACAGAATCTAAAACAGGCTCCAGGCTCCGAGCCGTCAGCACAGAGTCCGATGCGGGGCTCAAACCCACGGACAGTGAGATCATGACCCAAGCCAAAGTCGATGCTCAACTGACTGAGCCACCCAGGCGCCCATGTCACTATGTTTAATGTAAAGAGCAAATACAAACTGAAAAGAAGGATTATCTATGTGGACAAAGACTATAAGCAGCAGCTAACTGATCAATTAGCTAAGGGAAAAATCAGACTTCATCAAAATTAAAATCAGACTTCAAAATTAAAACTTCTGTTCTGCGAACTGTATTAAGAGGATAAAAAGACAAAGTACAGGGGTGCCTGTGGCTCAGTCAGTTGGGCATCGAACTTTGGCTCAAGTCATGATCTCATGGTTCATAGGCTCAGGCCCCACATCAGGCTCTGTGCTGACAGCTCAGAGCCTGGAACC